TGTTGTTTCTTCAGACGAGTATGCCAAATTTATTTCCTACCAAGAATTTCTAAAGCATTCATTTGTCCCTATCTCGGTAGTCGCTAATTCAGGTATTTCAAACACATGTCGTGTTTCCTCATCCTCGAAATGGGTCATTGACTCGGGTGCCACAGATCATATGACTGGTAATCCTAATCTATTCTCATCATTTCATTCATAATTACCTACTTCTAGTGTCACTTTACATGATGGATCTACCTCACCTGTTCTTGGATCTGGTACTGTTGTCCCAACTTCTACACTACCATGATCACCTGTTTTGAGTCTTCCTAATTTTGCATTTAATCTGCTTTCCATCAGCAAAATCACGCGTACTCTTAATTGTTCTGTAACATTTTTTCCTGGATATTGTGTGTTTCAGGATCTGTTAACGAAGCAGACTATTGGTAAAGGACATGAGTCAACTGGTCTTTATAGTTTGGATACATCAATCACAAAAGGTATCTCTTGTCTTGGGGTCGGGACTTTGTTAGAGGCTCATTACCGATTAGGACATCCATCTCTCCCATTAATGAAGCAAATAAATCCCCAATTCATTACGATAACCAGTTTACAATGTGAGTCATGTCAATTTGCGAAACACCATCGTACTAGCTTAAGCCCTCGAGTTAATAAACGAGCAAATGCTCCATTTAACCTTGTTCACTCTGATGTTTGGGGTGCTTGCCCGGTTGTGTCTAAAGCTGGTTTTAAGTATTTTGTTACCTTTGTTGATGACTATTCTCGTATGACATGGCTATATTTCATGAAACGACGATCTGAGTTGTTCACTCATTTTTCTTCCTTTTGTGCTGAAATTAATACTCAGTTTAACGTTAACGTTCCTGTTCAGGTGTTAAGAGGAGACAATGCCCAAGAATATCTATCTGTTATATTTAGGTCATTTATGCTTCAGCATGGTATTATTCATCAAACTTGATGCGTTGACACACCTCCTCAAAATGGGGTTGCAAAACGAAAAAACCGACATTTGTTAAAAACTGCAAGGGCTCTTCTATTCCAAATGAATGTGCCTAAACAGTTTTGGGCCGATGCTATGTCTACTGCATGTTTTTTGATAAATCGTATGCCATCTTCTGTTTTGAATGGTAAAGCTCCTTATAATTGTCTATTTCCAAACAAAGAGCTTTTCCTATCCCACCTAAAATATTTGGTTGCACTTGTTTTGTTAGAGATATTAATCCTCATCTTACAAAGCTAGATCCCAAATCATTAAAATGTATTTTCTTGGGTTATTCTCTAGTCCAAAAGGGGTATAGATGTCTTTGTCCGAGTAAAGGTCGGTATTTTGTTTCTATTGATGCATCATTTCATGAAAATACACCTTTTTCATCATCTAAGGCAGATATTCATGAGAATAATGATGATATACTCATTTACACGATGACTATTCCCGAGTCCACACTTTCGACAAGTATTCCACAAGTTACTGTTCCTGACCTTAGGCCTCCTGTACACTTAGTATACACCCGTCGACACAAAGCACCTGATCACCCTCCACTGGCGACACCTGTGATTATTTATCCTGATACTAGTCTGACTTCGATCTCATGTCCTGAACCAGTACCTGCATCATCAGATCTTGTCTCTACATCAGATCTTGACCTCCCAATAGCACTGCGTAAAGGTACACGGTCTTGTACTCATCCGATTTCTTCATTTGTGTCATATAGTCAGTTATCCCCTGCCTCCTGTTCTTTTATTGCTTCCATTGATTCTATTTCTGTTCCCAAATCTATTAAAGAGGCTTTGTCTCATCTTGAATGGTGTCATGCCATGATAGAGGAAATGAATGCTTTGGATCTTAATAGTACTTGGGATTTGGTAGACTTGCCTACCGGGAAAAAGTCTATTGGATGTAAGTGGATCTTTGCTGTTAAGGTTAACCCAGACGGATCTGTTGCTCGATTGAAAGCCCGATTAGTTGTGAAGGGTTATGCTCAAGCCTATGGTGTTGATTATTCTGACACTTTTTCTCTAGTTGCTAAATTAACATATGTCAGGTTACTTATTTCTCTCGCTGCAACTCATGGTTGGCACTTACATCAGTTGGACATTAAGAATGCATTCCTGCACAGTGATCTTCAGGAGGAAGTTTATATTGAGAAACCTCCGGTGTTTGTTGCTCGGGGGGAGTATGGGAAAGTCTGTCGACTTCGCACGTCTCTTTATGGTTTGAAACAGAGTCCCCATGCATGGTTCGGGAAATTCAGCCAAATCAGATCACACTTTGTATTTTATAGACGAACAAAAGTAGGTATCACATTGCTTGTGGTGTATGTCGATGATATGGTGATTACAGGGAGTGATAATGCAGATATTTTGGCCCTAAAGAATTTTCTTCATAGTCAATTCCAGACAAAAGATTTGGGCTCATTGAAATACTTCTTGGGGATTGAGGTTACACGGAGTAAGAAAGGCATATTTCTATCTCAACGTAAATATGTGCTTGACTTACTAACTGAAACAGGAAAATTGGGGGCAAAACCGAGCAATACTCCCATGATTCCTAATGTGCAACTCACTCTTGAAGGTGTGCCATTCGAAGATTCGGAAAGATATAGACGGTTGGTTGGAAAACCGAATTATCTCGCAGTTACCCATCCAGATATTGCGTACTAAGTGAGTGTAGTAAGTCAATACATGTCATCTCCGACAGTTTATCATTGGAATGTTGTGCATATATTATGTTACTTGAAGGGGACACCAGGACGAGGTATTAGGGCTGGGTCCAAAAACCGAAAACCGAAAACCGAATCAAATTAAACCGAACCGCGACCAAATAAAACCGAACCGCTAAAAACTAAAACCGAATGTAAAAAACCGAACCGAACCGTAGTAGTTTGTTCGGTTTTGGTTTTTACCCTTCAAAACCGAACCGAACCGAACAAGCCGAACATAAATAAAATATGAAATTTTATTTGTTAAATGTAAGCATTAATCTTAATATCATCAATAAGCTTTGAATTTCTTGTGCTAGAGAAATAATGTTTATGCTATGTTTAGTTTAGTTTATAAATGCATTTACACATTCAGTGCCCATAATAATGTAACTATATTGATCTATTATGTCTTTTATGTATGTATGTTGCAATTTGTTGCATGATTATATGTTTTTACTAGTTATTAGTAGTAATTAACTTTTATTTTTATGTAACTTAACTCTTTTTTGTAACTTAACTTTTTTATAAAACAAATAAATATTCATCTCGGCTAAATCACATAGGACGTATGTATTCATAAACGTTTTTCAAACTAGTACAAACATTGTAAATTAAGAATAGATACACACTTTTATCTCTCCCGCATACTCATATAATTCAAGACATATTTGTTTATTATTATTTTCTTCATTTGTTCAAGTATGCTTGCATTTTTATGTAATATGTTTGATCCCTCCAACTTTTATATCAATTTTAAATTAAATGACATATATTTAGTAAAAAACCGAAAAAATCGAAACCGAACCGAAACAAACCGAACTAATCAAACCGTGGTTTGAAGTTTTGGAGTATAAAACCGAACCGAAACCGAACCGAACTTTTACTTTGGTTCCGTATTTGATTTTAAGTCAAAACCGAACCGAAAGAACCGAACCCACCCCTACGAGGTATTGTTTATCAAAATCATAACCACATGAGAATAGAATGCTTTGCAGATGCTGATTGGGCTGGATCTAAAGATGATAGAAGATCCACATCTGGCTATTGCGTCTTTGTTGGTGGTAATCTCGTCTTTTGGAAAAGTAAGAAGCAGAATGTGGTTTCTCGTTCGAGTGCTGAATCAGATTATCGGGCTATGGCACAATCGGCATGTGAGATAATCTGGATAAACCATATATTGAGTGAAATGGGATTGAAGACACCAATGCCTGCTAAACTCTGGTGTGATAACCAAGCTGCTATACACATTGCCAACAATCCAGTGTTTCATGAGAGGACAAAACATATTGAGGTTGATTGTCACTTTGTTCGAGAAAAGATACAACAAGGATTGATCTCTACAGGATATGTGAAGACCGGAGAGCAACTTGGAGATTTGTTCACTAAAGCACTAAATGGAATTCGTGTTGGTTATTTATGTAACAAGTTGGGCATGATAAATATCTATGCTCCAACATGAGGGAGAGTGTGAAAGACATTAGAATATCTTTAGAATATGCTTTGGAATATTCTTCCATCTTTAGAATATGCTTTAGAATATTTTAGGAATATACTTTAGGAAGACATTAGAATATCTTTAGAATATGCTTTGGAATATTCTTCCATCTTTAGAATATGCTTTAGAATATTATTATTGTATAAAATCTTAAAAGAATATTCTATCTTTGTAATGTATATATAGGGACTTAACTCTTCAATGAAATACACAGAAAATCTTTTCTCCACTCTTCAATATTATTCTAGTTTATATTTCAACACTCATCATCTATTAATTTTACTTTTAATCTACACCACTCATTTTATCACAATTAAATATGGGGCTATGGCTTTGTACGAATCAATGAAGCATATATTTAGAAGCTAAAAATATACCGCCCTGCGGAGAAGAGCAGAGGTTAAGCGACAGACTGGGTCACAGAAGGAAGGGGACTTGGGGAATAATTTCAAAATGTGGGAGTTACTTTGCTGAAGACGACGAGCTGCTCAGCTGCTCACCAAGATGAAGACCCTTTTTTTTGGAAACACTCTACCAAAATTAAAAAACGGCCCCGACACGCATTTTAGCCGTTTCCCACGTTCGGAAACGTGCGTACGTTTCCAATATGGGGAAGCTCAGACTCCCAGCCGTTTCCGTGCATTATAAACTAATAATATTACTAAAATGTGTGGGCCAAAATAAAGATGTTTTATTCTTAAAAGCATGCCTACTCAACATGGCATGCCACATGTGAAATCTAGAGCGGTGTAAATATCACTGCCAGCAAAAGAAGCCAGTGAGGCAAGTTAAAAGATTACCTGATAACTACTCCAATCTGGAGAGGGAGAAGGAATGGCTGGAGTTGGGGGATACATCATAGGAGGAGCATATGATGTTGTCTCATGCATTGCTCTGGACGAATGAGACCAAGAACTCACATTTGACTGAGCGGTACCTTGCATTGCAACAGATCGTCCTTTGTTATATCCAGAAGAAGAAGAGTCATCTCCTGCCACAATGGTGGGCTCAGGATGATGAAATCTGCAGTTTGATCCATACTTGCATGAGCCAGTACGCATATAGTATGGACATTCCTTTTCTCCCTGCATATTGTAAGGAGAAATCTCCCATTAGAATTTGGTTAATGAGCCGCTAAAGAGAGACAGTAAGGATTTGTCTGGAATTCAGAATACTAGAAAAGAAAATCGGGAGGATAATATAGGAGAAAATGAGAAATAGGAAGAAGGAAAATGTGAGGGATAATAAAACATTTGTTCAGCTCATTTTGTTTATTTTTACTTTATTTATATTGCACTAAGAATAAAAGGCCTAGAGATCTGAGCATATGTACATGAAATTCACGAAATTAATCATACACATTTTCCTTTGCATTTTCTGTTGTAATTCCCAATGATTTTCAAGGATCTAAACAAACCCTAACAGAAAATGGTAAACCAGAAAACATAAATTTGATTACTTACGAAGACTGAAAGTAGTAAATTTGAATCTCATCTTGAATGCCCTAAAACTAAAATACTTGAAAGAGGCAACATACCGTTCGCATTGGCAGGCCAAGGAAATTAAACTCCTGAACCAGTGACACTTGAAACTTTTCCCTGCTATGATTGTATTTGCAGTTTTTCCCATATTTGCAGCCACTTGTAGTTAGGTAATACTGCAGCTCACATCGAAAGGAAAAATGGGAGCATCAAAAAGTTTATAAATTAGGCTTTGAAATAAGAAATTGTATGAAAGGAGTATGGAAAATCTTGTAGATACCTCAAGTCATACAAATATAACTAGATACTCCTAGTGGAAAAAAAAAATAGTTTTTTAGAAATTGAAATTCATGAGAAAAGAAGACAAGAGCCATTATTAAATAATAGCAATAAAGATTTAGCATCTTTAGTTCTTAAATCTTAACTATTAGCCACTACCAAAATGACCCGAATTAAATCTTGGGTAAGGAATGTATTAAGCAGACAATGTTCATTATAAAGGAAGATATATTTTAACAATAGAGACATGAAAATAAAAAATATTTCTTGTATGAGGGACTTGAGCCACCCAGACTAACCTTTTTTAGCACTTTCCCACAGGAGCTAACATAGCTTCTCTTTTTCTTCTTTTATTTACTACCCCCCTCCAATAAAAGAAGTCCGTTGTGTTAAGCTTTTTTTCTAAATAGTCCTTTTTTATTGTGGAAAACAGCATGGACTCATGAATCATTGACTCAGGTGTCCCCGACCATATTTCTGATAATTCCTATCTTTTATCTTGTATTACCAAGCACCAACACATTCCTTTAATTACTCACGCTAATGGCATTCAAACTTCAGCCACAGGTATTGGGCCGACTTCAACTTTCATCCTTACTGTTGAAATCTAAACTAGAATAATACTCCCTCCGTCCCATTGGACTTTGACAAATTTCCTTTTTTGGTTGTCCCAAAAAAATTTGCCACTTTCCTTTTAAAGCAATTAATTTGTGATTCTGCACATTTCTCTCTCTGCATAAATTTCAACCACACAGTTTTTACTATTGTTATTTCTCACATACTTTGCACTTGGCAAAGTCCACCGGGACTGAGGTAGTATTGAAGAGAGGAGGAAAGATTTTATGTGTATTTCATTGGAGGGTTAAGGCCCTATATATATATATATATATATATATATATATATATATATATATATATATATATATATATTACAAAGATATATATATTACAAAGATGGAATATTCCTATATAAGATGTTATACAATAATAATGTCTAGAGTATATTCCTAAAGCATATTCTAAGATACAATAATACTTTCACACTCCCCCTCAAGTTGGAGCATAGATATTTATCATGCCCAACTTGTTACATAAGTAATCAACTCGAATCTCATTTAGAGATTTAGTGAATAAATCTCCAAGTTGTTCTCCAGTCTTCACATATTCGGTAGAGATTAATCTTTTTTGTATCTTCTCTCGAATAAAATGGCAATCAACCTCAATATGTTTTGTTCTCTCATGAAATACGGGATTGTTTGCTATGTGTATAGAAGCTTGGTTATCGCACCAAAACTGAGCAGGCATTGGTGTCTTCAATCCGATTTCATTCAATAAATGGTGTATCCATATTATCTCACATGCGGATTGTGCCATAACTCGATATTCCGATTCAACACTAGAACGAGAAGCCACATTCTGTTTCTTACTCTTCCAGGATACAAGATTACCACCAACAAAGACGCAATAGCCAGATGTAGATCTTCGATCATCTTTCGAACCGGCCCAATTAGCATTTGCAATGCATTCTATTCTCATGTGACCATGGTTTTGATAACACTACCTCTTCCTAGTGCTCCCTTTAAGTAACATAATATGTGCGCTACAGCAGCCCAATGATCAATGGTCGGAGATGACATATATTGACTCACTACACTCACAGAGTAAGCAATATCTGGAGGAGTGACTGCGAGATAATTAAGCTTTCCAACCAATCGTCTATATCTTTCTGGGTCTTCAAACGGCATGCCTTCTTGAGTGAGTTGCACATTGGGAACCATGGGAGTATTGCTCGGCTTTGATCCCAACTTCCCTATTTCAGCGAGCAAATCAAGTACATATTTTCGTTGAGATAGAAATATGTCTTTCTTACTCCGTGTTACCTCAATACTCAAGAAGTATTTCACTGACCCTAGATCTTTTGTCTAGAACTGGCTATGAAGATAATTCTTAAGGGCCAAAATACCTGCATTATCAATGCCTGTAATCACAATATCATCGACATACACCACAAGCAATATGATACCTGCTTTCGTTCGTCTGTAAAAGAGAGAGTGATCTGATTTGCCTTTTATCATTCCAAACTGTTCAATTGATCGACTGAACTTGCCAAACCATGCACGAGGACTCTGTTTCAGACCATAAAGAGATTTGTGAAGTCGACAAACTTTACCATACTCCCCCTGAGCAACAAACCCCAGAGGTTGCTCGATGTAAACTTCTTCCTGAAGGTCACCATGCAAGATGCATTTTTAATGTCCAACTGATGTAAGTGCCAACCATGAGTTGCAGCGAGTGAAATAAGTAACCTGACAGATGTTAATTTAGCAACAGGAGAAAAAGTGTCAGAATAATCAACACCATAGGTTTGAGCATAACCCTTCGCAACTAATCGGACTTTCAACTGAGCAACAGATCCGTCTGGATTAACCTTAACAGCAAAGATCCACTTACATCCAATAGACTTCTTCCCTGTAGGCAAGTCTACCAAATCTCAAGTACCATTAAGATCCAAAGCATTCATTTCCTCTACAATGGCATGACGCCATTCAGGATGAGATAACACTTCTTTAATAGATTTGGGAACAGAAATAGAATCGATGGAAGCATGTACTAGAAAATGAGGCAAGGGATAACTTACTATACGACACAATTGAAGAAATAGGATGAGTACAAGACCGTGTACCTTTACATAGTGCTATCGGAAAGTCAAGATCTGAAGATGCATGTACTAGTTCAGGACATGAGATCAAGGACGGACCAATATCAGGATAAGTAATCACAGGTGTCACGGGTGGAGGGTGATCTGGTGCTTTGTATCGACGAGTGTAAACCAAGTGTACTGGAGGTCTGGGGTCGGGAACAGTACCATGTGGAATAACTACAGGAGGTGTAGATTCCGGTATAGTGACAAAGTGAGTACTTCATCATTGTCCCCATGAATATCTGTCTTGGATGATGAAAAAGGTATATTTTCATGAAATGATGCATCAATGGAAATAAGATATCGACCTGTACTTGGACAAAAACATATATACCCCTTCTAAACTCGAGAATAACCCAAGAAAATACATTTTAATGATTTGGGGTCTAACTTTGTAAGATGAGGATTAACGTCTCTAACAAAACAAGTGCAACCAAATGTTTTAGGTGGGATAGGAAAAAGCTCTTTATTTGGAAATAAACAGTGATAAGGAGCTTTACTGTTTAAAACAGAAGACGACATACGGTTTATCAAAAAACATGCGGTAGACACGGCATCCACCCAAAACTGTTTAGGCACATTCATTTGGAATAGAAGAGCCCTTGCAATTTCTAACAGATGTCGATTCTTTCTTTCAATGACTCCATTTTGAGGAGGTGTGTCTACGCATGAAGTTTGATGAATAATGTCATTTTGAAGCATAAAAGATTTAAATGGAGCAGACAGATATTCTTGGGCATTGTCTCCCCTCAACACACGAACAGGAACATTAAATTGAGTTTTGATTTCAGCCCAAAATGCAGAAAAATGAGTAAATAACTCTGATCGACGTTTTATAAAGTATAACCATGTCATACGAGAATAATCGTCAACAAATGTAACAAAATATTTGAAACCAGATTTGGACACAACAGGACATGCCCCCCAAACATCACTATGAACAAGATCAAACGGAGCGTTTGCTCGTTTATTAAGTCGAGGACTTAAACTAGTATGATGATGTTTTGCAAATTCACACGACTCACATTGTATAGATGACACCTTATTAAACTGAGGATAGATTTGCTTCATTAGTGGGAGAGATGGATGTCTTAATCGGTAATGAGCTTTCGATAGATTTCCAACCCCAAGACAAGAGATACCTTTTGTGATTGATGTATCCAAAATATAAAGGCTAGCCGACTCATGTCCTTTACCAATAGTTTGCTTTGTCAACAGATCCTGAAACACGATATCCAGGAAAAAATGTTACAGAACAATTAAGAGTACGTGTAATTTTACTATGGAAAGCAGATTAAATGCAAAATTAGGAAGACTCAAAACAAGTGATAATGGTAATGTAGAAGTTGGGACAACAATACTGGATCCAAGAACAGGTGAGGTAGATCCATCAGCTAAAGTGACACTAGAAGTAGGTAAATATGAATAAAATGATGAGAAAAGACTAGGATTACCGGTCATATGATCTGTGGCACCTGAGTCAATGACCCATGTCGAGGATGAGGAAACAAGACATGTGTTTGAAATACCTGAATTAGCAACTACCAAGGTAGGGACAGAGGAATGCTTTAGAGATTCTTGGTAGCAAATAAATTTGGCATACTCGTCTGAAGAAATAGCAATTGATCCATCAGATGAGCTGGTATCAGAAGCAACATGAGCGGTGGAAACTTACAGCAGCCTTCTCGTTTGTGGGCTCAAAATGTTAATAACCAATCAACTGGGCCTTACTCCTACGGACTCATCAAGCTTCGTCTGTACTTAGGAAGAAAACAGATGCGGTAACAGATATCTGATCTTCAACAATCAGATGCGCTAACGAGATGCAACCGGCCGACAAATTTCCTCTAGCCCACAAAGATATACGATGTGAGATACTAGCGACCAACAAATTTCCTCCAGCCCACACAAATATCCGTCAGAGTTCCGATCAAATTTCCTGGTAGAAAAGAAATATCACTGCGGATGCAGTGAGTGCTTCCGAAGGCCGTGTGGCTGATGGACATCGATTTGGAGCTGCGAACTTCAAACCCTGGTCAGAGACGACAGGGATGGTCTAGTCAGAGATCCGCCGGGAAGATGGTCGGACCTGGCAGATTTTGAATGATGTAGTTTGCGTGATACTGAGATTCTGAGTTTTCTTAAACTAAGGGTCTGAATAGAGGTTTTGTTTAATGGTGATGGTGTGTAGAGAGG